ATATTGTTCAACGAATTCTGTGTAATAATATTTCCATAATTAATTAGTTTATATTTTGTAGTATTTAAAATATTTTTTATTCAATTGATTCATTTATGATTTGGTTCAAACAATTCCATGTAATATTATTATAATAATATATCATAATTAATTAGTCTATATTATGTCATATTAAAATATTTTTATTCAATTAATATAGACATGCACAACTAGGCTCCTCCAGTTCTTGTAGTATGTTACGGAGCACAATTAACTAATTAATACTTAATAAAATTTATTATTAATTTAACTATTAATATTAGGCCTTTATATAAATAATCTATATTATTAATTAGACCGTGCAACTCTGATGTGAGCATAAGTAATATATTTTTTATTCTACAACAATATCATAAATTAATATTATGCTAATTAATAATTAATAAAAATTTATTATTAATTTGACTATTAATATAGATTTGTATAAATATTTGTTATTCAATTGACTCATTTATGAATTGGTTCAATGAATTTCGTGTAATATTTACAAAATCGGAACTATATTGTTCAACGAATTTTGTGTAATATTAACAAAATCGGAGCTATATTGTTAAAATTGTATTTTTAAAATATTAAATAAATTATAAAAATTAAATTTGATTAAATTGTTTAATTATACATAGCAAAAATGCTAGTACCGGACCTTCGAAATTAAAAACATAGTGCATAATAGAGGACTTTCTCGACCTATTGAAACACAAAAAGTCAATAACACATTCACTAAGGTTCAATCTCATGACCTCCCATATTGGAGAGGTCACTACATGTCATCTGAGCACAAGGTGCTTGACTAGTAGTTTTGTTTCTATACTCATTATAAACCAACTCAAATCTATTAATTCGATAAACTTTGTCTTTTTTAAAAATTTTTGAGCCACTTTTCAACATACATTCGAGTAGGGGTGGAAATAGGCTAGGCCGAGCCGGGCTATAGAAAATTAAGCCTGGGCCTATTAGGAAAATCTAAAGCCTAAGTTTGGGCCTAGGCCTGTATGTAGGCCTAAGCCTGAGCCTGCAGTTGGTCTGGCCTTGCCTGAAGCCTTTTTAAAAGCCTATTTAATAAATAGGCTTTTAAAAATGCTTCAAAGGTAGGTCCTAAATAGGCTTTGAGCCTATGTAAGGCCTACATTTTAAAGCCTTTTAATATATACCTGTTAAAAATAATCATATTATTAAATTACAATCAACCCGGTTAGGTAATTATATATACTTGGAGTTATATTGTAAATATAAAAATATATTAGGTATAAAATAGAATATATAATAATAATAATAATAATAATAATAATAATAATAATAATAATAATAATAATAATATTATTATTATTATTATTATTATTATTATTATTATTATTATTATTATTATTATTATTATTAAGGTTCAAGATGAGTGGAGGTTCAACAAAAATATAGTGGATATAAAATAGGCTTGGTCCAAATATGGGCTGTTTTTCACATAGCGAATTGAAGCCCAACCCAACAAACCCCCCTCCCGACTATGTGGAAAATATCACCATCCCGACGATACAACAACAAACCACTGCTCCCTTTCATAGGACAAACTCAGACTTGAAGTGCCTAATCCCAGAACCCACTTCACAGCATCCCAATATTCTCTTCCTGGATTTGAGATAAATCTGCAAACAACACCTATTGCATGAGCAATATCAAGTCTTCTACATACCATGTCAAATATGTCCAATCAACAACCTTAGGCTCTAATACCACTTTGTTGGAAAAAATCCCACATCCTGTTACAAACGAAAATCACAAACCCGACACGGTTCACAAATACAAGACAATACACAATAGCCCAAAATAAATGTCAACACAAAAAGACACACGATTTACGTAGAAAATCCTAAAATCACGGGGAAAAACCACGGGACCACCACAACCAAAATATTCAACTATAACAAATGTTGGGTACAAAGTTTCAGGATACCACACGAGCCAAATATCCAAAAATCATCAAATACAATAACTCTAGACCAAAGACTTCTATTATGTTTCATAGGCTTAAAAAGGAATACTAACTCGTACTTAAAATATTCAACCACCTAAATACACGATGAAAGTGAATACAAATATTACGAGATTATCCAAAAATGCCTGGAACAAACAAGTTGACCTCTACAAAATATCGAAGATAACACCCAAAAACCTCGACAAACACTGCACGCTGCCGTCAAAAATAGTGGAGAATTGAATGAACAAAAGAAACGAAGAGAAGTTTTCTCGCATTCGCCTGGACTGGTTGCTCTGGCTGGTCAGTCGTATTCCATCTATAATCTCTCATATATATAATGACAATCAAACAAGAAAAGGAAAAGGTTTCCTTTCATAATTTAGCAGAAGAATTGGTTTCCTTTCACTACTGCCGCCTCAACTTCTTTGTATATAAATCCATTCCACTTCCATAATATATATTATATTATATATAAATAATAATAATAATAATAATAATAATAATAATAATAATAATAATAATAATAATAATTAGGGTTCAAGATGAGTGGAGGTCCAACAAAAATAATGGATACAAAATAGGTTTGGTCCAAATTAAATATGGGCTATTTTCCACATAAGAGTGAAGTTCAACCCAACACTTTTTAATACAATAATCATATTTTACTCATTTCGTCACCTTTTCGGGACTGGAATGAAACCATATTAGACAATATACATGCCATTTCAAGCAAACATGATTGTGGTGGGTGACAATCGCAAATTATGCCGTGGAAACGTGTTCACCATGCTTTGTGAACACGTTTCAAAACGACGTCGTTTTTACGAGAATTTTTTTTTTTAGTTAATGTGCTGTTAACGACGTTTTGCATTCTATGTTCAGATTATGAATTAACATTTATTAAATTATGAATTTTCTGTTATGAGATTATGAATTTACAGTTATGTAATTATGAATTTTCTGTAAATTCATAATCTCATAACAGAAAATTCATAATCTCATAACAGAAAATTCATAATCTCAAAAAAGAAAATTCATAATTTCATAACTGCACATTCATAAATCCATGCATGCACATTCATAATTTATGAGTGTTGAAGAAACTTGCGCGAAAAGGAAGTGAAACCGCAAAATGTGAAAATGAAGAAGAAAAGTTGCGCTGTTAATTAAAAAAAAAAGATTGGTGGAAGATAATGGTGCCACTTACGGGCACCGTTACCGTTTGAGACCGTGTTCACCATGAATGGTGAACACGGTACCATGGCATAACGATTGGGTGACAATATATGTTAGGATTTGAATTAAGAATAAACATTGGTAGGACCTACTTTTACCCAAAAGCGAAAGCTAGCAAATGTATACAAATATATACTCTCTCCGTTTCATTTTATGTATCTGGTTCGATTAACGAGGTTTGACTGAAGTTATTTTTAATTCTTTTTTTGAAAAGAGCCTGTGCGGCATTTATTGAAAGTAAGTTGAAATAGAATCTGGCGGGCCAGAGTCCGAATACATAGCAGCTGAGAATTAAAAGCAGAAGTTGCTAAAGTGTGAGCTAAGTAATTATCTGATCTAGGAATAAAACGGAGTGAACAATAATCAAAGGAAACCATTCGGTTTCTGCAGCTATCAATAGCATAGCCAAGGCATGAGCGAGGCGAAGCCTTCGCATGTGATAAATATTGTTGAAGTGTCAAGCAGTCTGTTAAGAGGTCGACCGATCGTTCTCCATGGTCCCATAGCCAAGACAAAACTTCTTTGCATGCAAACGCTTCTGCCATAAGAGGGGAGAAGCAGTCTATCATCGGTGCCTGTAGAGCTGAGATATACAATCCTTGTCTGTCAAGGAGGATAGCCCCGTCGCTTTGCTCGTGTTGTGGTAGTATGCCGCATCAAAGTAGCATCGGTTCCGCATGCCTCCATGGCTTACGGATGAGGGGATGGGAGTGTGACTTCCGGTGGCCAAGGCAGCTGGCATTCGGTTTGGAAGCCGAACAGTAGCAGGTTGGGCGATAGCCCCTTGGGCTTGTTCGGTATTGACCGTGGCAGTCCCTCCATCGGTCGGCTGCGTACGGTCCGGGTGTGCAAGTTGCCACGCCCGGATTGCTGTGGTTACAGTAGCAATCATCTTCTGTGGTCTGGGTAAGCATGCATCCCATACAACCCCATTCCTCGCTCGCCATATATAATATAATAGGGCCACTGCATAAACAATTCCATCATCATCTAGAACATTCAATATTTCATTAAACCAAACATGAAAAATATATGTGACACTATTGGGGATTGGAAGGTGAGATTGAGCCCAAATGTTCATTGTATAATCACATCTGACTAAAGATTGCATAGTATCCTCATGCATGATCCCACACATAGCACATGTTGGGTCAATTTCCACTCTCTTTATAATCAGGTTCTTTGTAGTGGGCAATATATCATTTAAGGCTCTCCATAAAAATGTCTTCCATCTTGGGGGTACTTTGAGCTTCCATAATTTGGGCCATTTATCAAACATCCCAGTTGTTTGAACATAGTTCCCCACTATTCGCCTGTAACCACTTTTGACCGAGTATTCACCTGTTATGTCTCCATACCAATACCACACATCCTCAAAATCCGGTGACACAGGTATTTCCAATATTCGTGTCACATCCGCTGGAATAAAAAAATCTGTTAAAATGTCATGATCCCATGATCCCGTTTCCTGATCCATTAAACCTATAACTGTTGCCTGCGCCAATTGTGGTGGTTTTTCAGTAATTATTTTCGCATTGTGCTCATCCTGAAGCCATGGATGATCCCATATCAGGGTTGCACTTCCATTCCCAATCCTGCGCCTAACTCCTCCACAAATTAATTCCTGCGCAGACATGATACTACGCCAACAGAAACTTGGGTTATTCCCTAAACAAGCATCAAAGAAAGACCCTTTAGGATAATACCTGGCTTTAAATATTCTTGACACCAACGACTCAGGTTTTGTGAGTAAACGTCAGGCCTGTTTCCCCAACATGGCTAAATTAAAGGCACGCAATTCCTTAAAGCCCAATCCCCCATACTTCTTAGGGATACACAACTTATCCCACGCTTTCCAGTGGATGCCCTGGTCATCTTTAGATCTCCACCAGTAACGGTTCATAGTTCTCTCAATAGCTGTGCAAACATTCATAGGTAGTAAAAAGACACTCATTGAAAAGGTGGGCATAGATTGTGCCACACTTTTCAATAAAACCTCCTTACCTGCTTGTGATAGTAACTTCTTATTCCATGACCCAATTCTTTGTCTAATTTTGTCCTCAATATATGAGAAAACTGCTTTCCTATTCCTGCCCACAAATGATGGAAGCCCTAGATACTTCCCAAAATTTGGAGCCTGCACAACTCCTAAGATATTGGCAACCTCCTCCCTGTCCTCATCTCGTGTGTTTTTACTATAGCAAATACTTGACTTATAATAATTCAATGCTTGCCCAGACATTTCCTCATACACTGACAAACACTGTTTAACCACTTCAGCCTCCTGGACATTTGCTCTAAAAAAGAGTAAACTGTCATCTGCAAAGAACAAGTGGGATATAGGGGGGGGGGGGGGGGGGGGGGGGCTCCTCTAGCTACTCTGCAACCTTGTAATTCTCCCCTTAACTGCGCCTGTTATAGAAATAATGAAAGTCCATCAGCACAAATAATAAAGAGATAGGGCGACAGGGGGTCACCCTGCCTCAAACCTCGAGCTGGATTGATTTGCTCACTTCGTGTCCCATTAACCAATATACTATATGAGACTGAGGTTACACATAACATTATTAACTCCACCCACCTTTCATCAAATCCCAACGCTAGCATCATATTACGTAAAAAGGGCCATTCCATCCGATCATAGGCTTTCGCCATGTCCAGTTTCAAAGCCCCCCATCCTGTGATTCCACATTGCTTCCTGTTTAAAAAATGACCAACTTCGGCAGCAATCAAAATATTATCTGTTATTAGTCTGTCAGATATAAAAGCGCTCTGGGTGTCAGATATAATATCCCCCATCAGTGGCTTCATTCTGGCAGTTATGACTTTAGCCATAATCCTGTAGATCACATTACTTAACGCTATTGGTCTATAGTCTGAGACCAATTCAGGATTTTTCTTCTTGGGGATCAGGATTATGTTCGTATCATTTAGGCTAGCAGGAAAAGAACGAGCATTAAGACAATTCACAATATAGGTCGACACATCACCACCCACTACATCCCAGAAATGCTGGTAGAAACCTGGATTCATTCCATCTGGTCCTGGTGCTTTGTCAGGAAACATAGAAAATAGAGCATTCTTTACCTCAATAACATCAAAGGGTCGCAAGAGTGTCTCATTCTGTACATGTGTTACCCGAGAGCCTATATTTCCAAAGAACTCCTCATTATCATTAGGAGAGCCGGAGCCGAAGATATTCCGATAATAGTTCAAGATAATATTCTTCATGGCCTCTCCTTCAACCCAATCCCCACTATCATTCATAATTTTAATAATAGTATTCTTTTTCTTGCGATGAGATGCATACCTGTGATAAAATTTTGTGTTTGCATCCGCGTCCTTAAGCCAATGCTGCTTGGCCCTCTGCCTCCAGTATGCATCTTCCTGAGCTTCAATACGATTCAGGCACTCCTCTAATCGTTGAAATTCAGCCAACGATGTTGGGTTACTACATCCCCTCAGACGTAACTGCTCCTTCCGTAGGTTCCTTATTCGTTCACCAAACTTATGAAACTGATCTCCTCCCCAGCGCGCTAAACGATTTCCACAATAAGAAATACATTCCTGCAAATTCCTTCCTCCACCTTCATTCCATGACTTTTCCACCACTTCTCTACATCCTTCATCATGCAGCCATGCCATTTCAAAACGAAACCCTCTTTTCAAACCACCCCTCCTTTCACGAAGATTCAGAATCCCAAGGAAAAGAGCAGAATGATCCGACTTTCGGGTCAATATATTCTGCACACTAGCATCCGGCACTTTCTCACGCCAACTGATGGACAATTTAATTAAGTCCTCGCAAGTGCACGAGTCACGGTTTGTAATAGCGTGCAAAGGCAAGAGTCGATCCCACAGGGAATTGTATGATGCAATTTAATAACTTGAAAGTAATTGGAAGGAATAAACTTAAAGGGTTTAATAAAAAGTCGTCAAAAACTAAGAAACAAAAGGAAATCGCATGCAACTTGATAAGTAAAAATCTAGAAACACGAATCAACTACAATTACTAGTTCGCATTTTGGTTTAACTTTGCTAACCATTCACATGTGCTTAATTAAAGCTACGGCCACACTATATCAATTTGAATTGAAATTGCAGAAATAAACTCCTAATTAACTTTCAAAGACTAAACACAAATTAAATTAGCAATAAAGAAATAAAAGAGATTAAAGATGAAAATTTGCAACTGCGAAAGAAAAATTCATGTATTGTGTACAGAACAAATTAAATGTTGATCTTGGAAGCTAAACAATATCTTTGAATTATAGCAAAGGAGAATGAACAAAAGGAGCAGAATTCTAAAAGCTAGATAATAAATAAATAAAGAAATAGAGATGAAATTAGTGTTGCTATTGAGATAAGCTATAACGAAGATTGCCCAGAAATTTATTCGCACAGTCAAAGCTTAGACAGGAATTCACTACTGCAAAATTATAACGCCAAAGCCGAACAAACATAAAGAAAAACAATGCTTAACAGGAAAATTAAATATAATAAAGCTTACAACTAGAATTTGATAAATTGACAAAGTGAAAAAAACGAATCGCAATTTAAAGAAAGGGAAATAGAACCAGGGACAATGTGCAGCTATCAAGGATGTATTTTGCTGCTGCTCAATTCACTGCTGCCACGGTTTTCACGCCCAGAATTCACCGCCGACCGGACTTCGCACGGAGATCGCCTCCTTTGTTTATCACCTCCGGAAGTGGTCTTGGAGTAAAAACTGATTGTCCCCCTTCATTGAATCGGCCTCTATTTATAATACTCAGACCCAATGACTTCCGCTCAGACACCGCTCGCCACGGAGAATGCTCTGTGATCGCCTCTTCCGCTGTTCAGTCGGATCGCAGGACTAAGTTGTTGAAGAATGTCGTCCAGAGGTTCGCGATTAGCTCTATGCCTCTATTATTTCTCAATAATAATAATAATAATAATAATAATAATAATAATAATAATAATAATAATAATAATAATAATAATAATAATAATAATAGAGATCATATATAACTAATCTACCTTTATTAAACTCCTACTGAACATGTACTACTACAATTAATAATATTCTTATTAAATTAGGATGAAAGAATTATTGGACTGACAGAATTCAAATAATAAAATCAATTTAATAATTAAAACAACATAAAATTAAATAATATTATTAAAAACTAATTGTAGAAATAATAAATAAAAATAGATAAGAATTAATCAATTATTTGTAACTTAACTATGAAAAGATTATTTAAAATAATACTAAAAATACTGTTTATCAAATCTCCCCACACTTATTTATTTACTTGTCCTCAAGCAAAAACATTATTAAAAGGGAATAAAAGAAATTAAAAATAAAATCAAACATTAAACTGAGCTTTACCCGAATATGTTTTCAAATTTATTGCCAACAATGCAGGGTTAGTGCCAACTCAACGAATGTATAAAACAGTCGACTAGAAATTAAAAACTTTAACAACTAAAATAAATATAAAACGTGTGCTCATGTGCTGACACCCCTTATATGAGCTATACAAAATCTCAATAAACAAATATGAAAATTTCACCAAATTCAACCTAAACCAAATTCAGAAATATTCTATCACTGTGCAGGTGCAAAGCATGAAGGAAATAAGGATCAAGGCATTTATTAAAATTGAAATGCAATTGCTCGTCTTTTCCAAAGTTCACTCATTATTTTTTATATTTTGACTTTTTTCCAAGAGAACTTCCCCAAAAACCTCGCCATTTTACGCCAGACTTGTTTGGATTTTCATTTTCTGTGTACTCATAAACCAGAACACGACACTTATTTATTTATGGTACATGTGTATATGTGGCTGATTCAGCGGAGTAGAATCTCTTTATTGCAAACAAAATAAATAAATAAAACACTCATTTTAATTTTTCATTAATATTTTTTTAAATCTTTTTTTTTTACCTCACTTATGCCATAAAGATGATCCTTGAACCAACACACTACACCACAATTTATAGCACTCAAGAACTATTTAAGAATTTGAAAAAGGTAAAATATAAAGTGAAACCAACATATAAACCATTAAAAAAAATGCATAAAACATATAAGGGTATTTTTTTTATTTTCAAATTCTATATTTTTTGTGTGTTTTTTTTTTTTTTTTTTTTTTTTTTTTAAACAAATTTTCTTTGGCAAAATTATTCAAAATAAAAGAAATTAACAATTAGCCACATGCAATATACACACTAAGAGTTGACAAAAACATACATCATTTTCATCATAGGCTAGTCAAAATGCTTATTGGGTAAAGGCTCAAGTTCTTATTAATTTTTTTTTAAAAAATATTTTTCTTTTTTTTTTTTTTGTAAGAGATTAACAAATATTTCAAAATAAAACCCTCCCCTCACTTATTTCAAACATTGTCCGCAATATTGAGAACAAACAAAAAGTATAAGAGAAACACAAACAACATGAGAACTCTGGTTAGCCAAAACTTTGTCTAACCTTTCCTCTATCCAATTTGGTGTGCCTTTTTCTTTTTCCCAAGTAAACGGATATCCAGTCATTGGCATCTGCGCTAAACCACAATCCTCAATAGCCTCACCAAAACCATGAAGCAAACTATCAGGATGGGGGTTTCCACCTCACTTCTCAGATTGGAATAACAAGTCATTAAAGTCACCAATCATTACCCAAGGTAGATCTGATCTGCCAGCTAAAGTACGAATAAGGTCCCAAGAATCCCTCCGTTGACCCTTCTGCGAAAAGCTATAAAATCCCGTCATTCTCCATTTATCAAATCCCGGTATACTCACTTCAACATCCACATAGTTTTTGGAATAACTCATCAACCTTGCCGTATTATTTGCTCTCCACAACAGAGCCAAACCTCCACTCAATCCAGAACTATTAATACAAAAAAGACCATCGAAACCAAGTTTAATCCGAAGTCGTTCAACATGATCTCGGCTAACCTTGGTTTCCATTAGAAATACAAAGTCGGGCTTCTTATAGGACACCATGTCCTCAATCTCGCGAACTGTCCGTGGATTACCCAAGCCACGACAGTTCCAACTCAAGGTACTCATTGGGACTGGCGGGCCTAATCCACAGGTCCCGCCGTATACAAAGAATCAGAATCAACTACCATATTTCCATTCAAAACGCTCAACGCCCCACCATCCGTCCTTCGCCTTTTCGGATCTACCCGAATACCCTCCCCCTCTCCAACTACTCCCTCGCCCCTCACACCACCCACTCCTTCGACTTCCGATTCCATCTCAGAACCGGCCACCCTTTCCTCCCGAACCTGCACACTCCCTCTACTCTCGAACCCCACTGCCGGAATCTTGCCTTCACCCCCATAACCGATCTCACGGCGTCTCTCTTGCCCCAAATAGAACCATTTATCTCCCAACATCTTCGCTGGACTAGAACCCCCCGCCCTCATACTCACGCCAAATGGGTACTGTTCCGATTTCAACAACGACCGACGAGCTTGTAAGCAAAATTTATCCGTGTGCCCCATTCTCCCACAGAAAAAGCAAAACATATGGAGGCATTCATACCTAAAGTTAATCCATGTCCACGACCCATCCCTTAAAATCATCTTCATTCGCCGCTTCAAGGGGTTAGACACGTCGTGAGTGATTCTAATTCTGTAGAAGGACGTCCACTGTCTCTCGAAGTTGCGTTCATCATACCGTAAAAAGACACCGGCATAGTCACCGATCCTCTCCAAAACTTTCACCCCGTACGGTATCCCGGAGGTATATCCGAAACTTGAACCCATTAGTCAACAGAATTCAGACTAACCTGCAACGGATCTTCTCCATCATTTAGGACTTGGCAGAGCAGCGTCGCATTCTCAAACGCCCAAGGTCCTTCCTCCAATACACGTCGCATGTCCGTTTCATCGAAGAAGGTGAACAAGAATAGGTTCGGTTGCACATCCGTTATCTCAATACCCATGAGTGGTCTCCAAGCCGAAGCCATAACACGCTTCATCACATCATTCTTGATGATTCGGTCCGTTAAAAAACGGCCAACGATGGTCCAGGTTAGCTTCGTCGCCGCCTCGCCGGTAGGACGGGGTCGCCAACTGCTTCATCTTCGAAACGAATTCCTTGCTCTTCATCCTCCAGCGTGATGTCGGCAGTGTGCGCAATAATCTCCTGAACATCCATGGCGCAGAACAATCAGCCTCGCTGTCTTCGGTCGGTCGTATGTAAGTAAACCAAACCCTAGATCTCAGGGAGAGAATAAGAAAACCCTAGATCCCAGGGAGAGAAGGAAGAAATTAACTTATTATTTGTAATTCAAATTTTCATAATATTAAGTTTAGTATTAGTATATAAAATTTATATATTTAAAAACTACACTAAAAGTACTATTAAACACAAAAAATTAAATTTAAAAATGAATAAAAAAAATACTAAAGAAAATAAACAAAGAAAAGAAAGAGTTGGTTTGACCAATAAATAGTAAATATGACAGATAAAATGGGATAGAGTGTGTATATATTAACGTTGTGAGACCTACATTCAAATGGTCCAATCCACATTTGATTGAATTAATTTCATCTTGTACGTAAAATATAAAATTGTGAATGGGGTGATGAAAGTGAACACTTGTTGCATTAATATTGTACTTATTGGCTAGGGTTTGGTATATATAATAAACTGAAATATTACTATTCTAGGATAGTATGATTAGTAAATATGCATTACATTTTATACATATTACCTAATTGTAATTTTCGGGAGAAATGTATGTTTGGTTTAAGTCCTTCAATTCAATTCACTCAAACTTAGAATCAGTAGAATCAAATATTTATTAATAATTATATTGAAATGAATCATTGTATACGAGAGATAGGATAGATGATAATGGGATGTCTAACTGTCTAAGTATTATTTGTACATGTATATATATGTGGATGGACCAGCTACTCTACTTAGTGACTTGCTTCTTTTGTATATATGAATAGAATCAAGTTTTTCACTTTACAATTCAATCCCATCTCTCTTTTATCTTTTTTTTTTTTTTTTTTGAATGCTACTGATTCTATTACATTGTAGTATCTGTTCAATCATCTCTCTTTTATCTACTTTAATTAAAAAAAAATACTTCAAATAATCTACCCATATCCTATGTAATTTTTTTTAAAAGTCCGGCCAAACATAGTACAAGGTATATACCCTTTGATTTACTAAAAAACTTGTAGTAGGTACACACCTTAAATAAAGAATCACCAAAAGGTAAATCAGTTGTGATCGCGATTCAAACCAAAAAGTCAGTTGACAGCTAACACAAAGAGCACAACTTGACACTCAAGTGAATTGTAACTTAAAGCTATCTGCTAGATGAAACTCGCATTATAACTTTAGTCGATAAAGAACTACGAAAAGGTAAATCAGCTGATCCCGAGGCTACAAATTTCGGCCTCGGGAGGAGCAACCCATGAAGTGGTTTTCCCTTTCATCACCTCAAAGTCGTTAACACACCGTCCAAAATCCAAGCTCTTGACCCGCTTCCTAGCCGAAGCCAGCTTCTTACCAACCCCTCGATCAAACAGCTTCTCCCACCCCTCCTCCCAATCCGCGTTGGCATCGCAAAGCCGCAACGTGTCATTACCCCAACCGCTCCAACCCCACCCGTCCTCAAGCCCGCCCATCACCGACCCAACGCACGACCCGCCGCAGAACGGCGTGCACGGCTTACATTTCGCGCCGTTCAACGGACTCCGGCTAAAAATCTCCGCCACCGGCACGTAAAACGGCGACGACGGAGGGAACTCATACCTATGATTCGTGACGACGCAGAAGGGGACGTGGCGAACCGAATACGAAACTTTCTGGGTTTCCAGTTGGGCCTTGAATGCATTTTCCGAGTTCAAGAGCTTATATCCGGCGGCGTCGAGCTGGGGGATTAGGGACAGGCGGGAGAGAGCCGCCGTTGAGGTATTGAAATCGCCGATGCCGAAACGGTCGTTCAATCCCCGGTATGATGAACCGGATGGGACAACGTACCGGCCCGGAATGAAGTGGTCTTCCCTGAGGGAACCGGACCAGTATCCGTCGACTCGGGTCCGAATAATCCAGTCGTAAGTGAAGTTATTCTTACGCTGGTGGTCTTCAATCATTGTCAGGCAACCTTCTACCAAGTTGAAATACTGTAACAAGCCCTGTAATATTAAAATGGAAAAATGGAAAGAAACAAAATTAATTAATTTTAAAAATAAAATGTTAATTATAGGGTGTACGGTAAATAACTGTTAGCTGATAGTTGTTAATGAGTTTGACTAGTTGATAACAATTAACTGATAGCTGATTACATATAAAATAATTTTTTTAACATTTTGATTGTTTAATCCAGTTAAACAGCTAATAGTATACAAATAAACCAAAATTAAGTCCCTCCACAACATTTTATATTTACATAAAATATGAAAAAGAATAAGTAATAATTAATAATAAGAATACCTGAATGCCATTGGGCGAATAGGCCGCCGTGAGAACTCGCCTTCGCGCCTCGGTCTCGTCGATCGGCGTGGGCTTAAAGATTTTCACGGCGGCGATTCTAGGGGCGGATTTGAGCAGGGAGAGCTTGTACGCATTCGAATCCAAAGGACTGTGAAGAAAAAGGTCAGAGTTGGGATACACACCGAGAATATTCTGGATAATGGACGGCCCGGTGAGCTCGAACCTCCGCGCCCCACCTACCAAGCAAACGGCGATCCTGGAGCGCCTCAATGTCGTCGATTCATTCCCAGGCGGCGGCGAGGCAAAACCGCCAAGGATCGACCGGACGGCGGCGGAGAAGGGAGAGAGGGAGGCGATGACGAGCAGAAGAGAGATTGGGAAGAGAATGAGCAATAGTAACCTCCGATCGAGATCCCACGCTCGTCGCCTCAACTTAACAACAATTCTAGGGTTTTTCAGAAAAGACGACAACGACATCGTCATCGTCTCTGGTTATTAAGCCAGCTTGGGGATTCACATATTCTAAGGTTTTGAATTTTAATTTGTTTTTCCGTTTGGTTCAGCTATAGAGTAGGCTGTGGTAGTTTACATGCAGTCTTATTTGACTATACTATACAATGAAAATTTTGATTTTCTAAATTAATTATTATATTTATATATACTATTTTTAAATCTTAACAATTATAAATTTTTCTTTTTTTGACAATACAATCAGGTTGGTCAGATTGTTGACTTGATAAGTAAAAAATTACAAGTTTCGATAACGTTCAACGAGACACTCTTATTGCCCTTCTTAGTCCTAAACTACTAAGGCTAAAATGCGAGTTTATCTATTGCACATTCAAGTAGTAATAACAAATTCTTTTCGTCATTAAAAGAAGGGAAAATGACACTTTTTCCCCCTATGTTATATACTTATAGCACTTTTTCCCCCTCAATTATTTAAGTGGCTCTTTTTCCCCCTGAAATGTTAAATGGACATATTTACCCTTAAAATAAATATTTCATTTATTTTTATTCTCCAATAAATTATTACTATAATTTGGTTCAAACCAGATACTATAGTAACCAAACCAAAATATTCCAATTACAATTTATAATCAAAACGCGATATTTAGAGTTTATTAAAATCGCGAACTGGAATGGCCGGTTCATGTTCCGAACTGAAAAAATAAAATACATTTATTGTTGAATTTAAACTATTTTAAAATAAAAAATAAAATTTTAAAATAAAGACGGTTCAAAATCACGAACGGGATCCGGAACCGCCGGTTCATGATCCAGTTTTTTTTTTATTCTTAAATTTAATAAATTGAAATCCAAATATTGGGTTCTAGATCTGAATCATAACTGAAAACTTTTAATTCGATTGCTATAGTGTCTGGTTCAGTTCGAACCGAACTGTGGTAATCGCTACATATACGCAATAATTTGTTGGAGAAGTAAAATAAATAAAATATTTACTTTAAGGGTAGAAATGTCAATTTAATATATTAGGGGGGAAAACCACCACTTTTAAAATAATTGAGGGGGCTAATGTGCTTACATAAATAATTGAGGGGGAAAAAGTGCTATAAGTATATAACATAGGGGGAAAAAGTGCCATTTTCCCTTAAAAGAAATTATAACTTTTAAAATTAATTTCCTAACTAATATGGTAACTCAATTAATTCTCACACTAATTAGGAATCGCAATTATTCTTATTAATGCCTTTCCTTTCTTTATTAATATAATTTTTAGCATCATAACAGGCAGGTTTGGATCTTGTTTGTTATACAATGAGTGAGAAGTCAATTGAAGCATGTGCTCTATCTTAACTTGAGGATTGATTACTACCATAATTTTTTTTTTTTTTTATCAAGTGACATGACATTTAGTATGAGTCTGATACCAAATTGACCTTTTAACATGATTCTGATACCAAATTGAAGTATATGTTTCATCTCAACTAAAAGTTTAAATTGATAGTTGGATTGTATAATTATATGCTCAACAAAGCCATCCAGATCCACCATTGGTGCATGGTTTATCGATTCCCATGAAGTGCATCTATCTATCACGTGCAGTTTAAATTTAATATTCAATATAATAATCTTTTTATGATTCACGAGAAATTGAACATACATCAGATTTTGTGCATTAAAATTCGGAACAAAATACTACATATGTACAAGTAGAACATAAATAAATATCTACACATTTTAAGCGTAGTCCGAGGGGGGATTTTTTTGTCTAGAAATGTTATATTGTATGAATATATTATATTTTTCCTTTTGCAAAAGATGCTTAATTATTATCGGCAATCACGGCATGATGAAACACTAGAGTATTATACGTGCGGCGAATTGAAGTGGTCCTAAGCTCGGTCGTGTGGAAGAGGAGAAGATGTTTTCAGTGGCAGTTTTCGATACGATGAAAGCCATGATGGTTGTGTTTAATTTGAAAAGTCATCAACTATGATACATCATCAAGAAAATTTCAATTTTGGTCATATGACTATAAGCTAAGGGCTTTGTTAATTTCAGCACCTGACTTTCAAAAGCGTCAATTTAGTACCTTGACTATGCAATTTTTTTTTAATCAATTTTGGTCACTCCGGTCAAATTGCCGGTCAAATTTCACCGGAAAATTTTAAGAATTAAAATAATGAGGGTATTTTAGTCATTTCACATCTCTTCCTTCTTCTCCGGCGAATTCATCTTTTTCGGCGAATCCGTCGCAGCAGCACACCTCAAAATACCCTCATTATTTTAACTGGAAACTGCGCTCAAAGATGGGATTTTGGGCGGCGGCGGTGGAGTGGTTGTAGTCGGGAAGAAGCTTAGTCGGGGAAAATGATTGAAGAGATGTGAAATTACTAAAATGCCCTCATTATTTTAACTGTTAAAATTTTTCGGCAAAATTTAACCAGAGTGACCAAAATTGATAAAAATTGCATAGTCAAGGTACTAAATTGACACTTTTAAAAGTCAGGTGCTGAAATTAACAAAGCCCTTATAGTCATATGACCAAAATTGAAATTTTCTCTATATCATCTTTGTGATGACGACTTTTTAGCACTTTCTCTTCCTTTTGGTCAACTCATTTTAGGTTGAATTATATTACGGAGTATTTTGCATTGTTTGGGGACCTAATTGTATTTTTTTTTAATTTAATAGCCTAATTACATTTTGTTGTATAGTTAATGATCTATTTGACCCTTATTTTCTAATTATATGATATTTTCCTTTCAAAATAAACTTTAATAATTGATTTTTTTTTTCCTTTCATTGCCTCTCTCCTTCACATTAGCTAGATTGCGAATTGCCTAAAGAAAAGCCATTTTTAAGAATGCTCTAATAAGATTTTAGTAATAACAAATTTGTCACTTTCTAAGAATTCTATTAGTGATTGTAAGTGGGGATATAATTAAAGTCCATGTTAATGGTTGGATTGAAAGGTACAAAGGGAGATTGGTTGTGAACGTAAGGAAAGGGGTAAGGGACAGTATAATACAATATAATTTAATTTTAATCTGGAGGGTGTGGTTGAGTGGAAAGGACTCATCCATTCTTAACCAAAAGTCAATGGTTCGATCCATTTTTGGGAATGGAGCAGCCTTACGGGCCGGGTTAGATGGATCATTTCTGCTGAGTCTAATTCAATGGAAACACCACACCGCTTGCCGTTCTCTCACCGGAGATCCCAACTCCGCTAGTCGCCACCGCGTCTCTCCTCAGCAACTCCAAAGACCGGCGGTGGCAATTCAACGAGCTATCCCACCCAAAAGAGGTGCCTATTTAGCGAGCTGTCCCACATAAAAAAGGTGCCTACAATTCAGCGAGGGGATTAGTCATTGTGTCCATACTCGGAAAAAAAAAGTTTTTTTGGAAATCTAAATGAGAGGATCGGATAAAAGGCATTTAATGCTATCATCCAAAATCATGGAACTTTATTAAAGACCTTTTAAGGAAGATCATCTTATTTCATACGAGAAAGAACAAAAAGAGCTGTTAGACAAATGCAACTTGTCTATCACCTAGAAGTCTACATACATGCAAGACAAATTGGTGATAAGTAGAGCAATTCTTTTTTACTAAAGTGTGCTTATGCACGGATAGGTAACGATCATTGCACTATGGATATTAAGTTGCCCAAGTTAAGAGATATAGTAATAGATTTTAAGAAATTATGACAGCTTTTGGACGGCTACCAATAACTGAGTGACAATGGACAATATTCGTTGGCACTCATCCCTCCTCATCTATAAAATGAGGATCTCAAGCTAGCTAGCTTAGAAGAAAAATATTGGTTGTAAAAAGTATTCTCTTGTGACCAAGTGTTTAAAGCTTTGCTGCTACAGCAAGTCTTATAACCTAAATAGGAATCAATTTGATTCTTTCAAGTCCAACATACAAAGAAAACCATATTTCAAGGTGAAGGAAGTTGGGATTATTATATTGCAGATCAACTTAGCTAGCTAAGATAGCAAGGTCACTTCGTGAATGACCCTTGGCTAGCTAGCTCTGGTTAAGCATTGAAGGATAGGATCGAATGACTTTGTGGTTGACCTCTGTCTCAAGGACTGTCAATCGGTAAAAGTTGTAGGCTTTAATTCATTCGGCTTTGTATCTGTGTAACCAAAGTGAAATCCTCTTTGGATTTAAGGAGAAAAGTAGAGTAGAAAAATTTTCTAAAACACTATAAATATCTCTCTATCTCTCTCATACATAATGTGGCCCCTATAGCTCAGTGGTAGAGCGTTAGTCTTGTAAATTGAAGGTCTGTAGCTCGATCCTACATGGGGGCAAACATTAATTGCATTGCAACAAAGTCAATACTATTACACAAGCAGCTATAAATATCATCGTGGAGTCTTGTTGTAACTATCAAGAGAGAGTCAATACTATTACACAAGCAGCTATAAATATCATCGTGGAGTCTTGTTGTAACTACCAATTTTGTCTACACAGAGTCAATACTATTTTGCAAGAGTGGTTGCTAACTTGGTGCCTAATTAAGGCTTTGGTCCAATGGATTGGATAAAAAAACTTACAATGGTATGATAGGAATTTTGAAGCCTAACTTCTCGTCATTATAAATATTAAAACACATCATTTTTGTATTACGACGAAACCACATACAAATACATAAGAAAATAGAATAAGAACATACATACTGTGATTTAATATAAAATTTTGACTTTGATTAGAATATTAATTTGATAAACACTCCTTATTAAATTTGACTCCTACAAAAAGATAAGACCATCTTGGTTATATTATAATAGAGTTAATACCCAAAATCGTCCTCGACTATAGTGGTTTTTCTCAATTTCGTCCTAAACGACTTTGGTGACCTAATATCGTCCCAGACTTTTGTGTTTCGCTCAATTTAGTCCTCCATTTGTTTTTTCGTCAAATTGGTGTTAAATAAAGGGACAATTCAGTAATGTCAATATTGATCTCTCTTTACTTTCAACTTGTGAAGTGCGAAATTCCTCTTTCTTGTACGAATTACACCCAGAATTACTCCCGGACCTGCAAATCAAATTTTATATTCGCAGTTTTAGGAGTAATTCTGGGAGTAATTCGTAAAAAAAAAAGGATTTCGCAGTTCACATGTCTATGAGTAAAGATATGTCAATATTAAAATTACTGAATTGTCTATTTATTTAACACAAAATGGACAGAATAACAAATGAGGGACTAAATTGAGCAAAAACACAAAAGTCTGGGACTAAATTGAGCGAAACACAAAAGTCTGGGACGATATTAGGTCACCAAAGTCGTTTAGGACGAAATTGAGAAAAACCACTATAGTCGAGGACGATTTTGGGTATTAACTCTATTATAATACTTATCAAAATGATAGAATCAATCAATATTTCTAATAAATTCTTTACAAATTAAACGACCAAACTGTTTACATATAATTCCTTTATGCTATATTGACTAAAGTTAAATCCTTTCCGGCAACTTGTCAGCAGTGATGACCGGATTTTCCATAGCCAAAATCTTACGTCCTAAAGCCTTGAAATCAAAATCGCATTTGTGTTCTTCCGGGAAGCGATGACGCCCACAAAACGTTCCTCCACAGCGGAACCCAAAGCTCATCAACCCAACCTTCTTCTTGCAGCAGAAACACCTCTTACTCTTCGTCGGCGCCACCTCAAACTCGGCGGCCAAATCGGCATTTGCGGATGAATCCTGCGGCGTTTTGCATGGTGACGATGTGAGAGTAACGGCGGCCGACTTGGCAATCTCTTCTTTCAGATAGTCGGCGTAGCACTTGGAACAGAGGAACTTGTTTTCCGGGTGGCCGAAGAAGCCGCAGCCGCGGGCACATTGCCGGGGACTTGTCGGCTGGCAACTTTGTGAAGTGTGAGTCCGACATGTTTGATTGATCTCCTTCAATTCCTCTTAAATCTCTACGAATTATTGAAGAATGTTTGTTTTTGAGGTATAGAGGCTAGCTAGGGCTTGGTATATATAAACTGAAATACTCGGTATTAGCTAGCTAAGTAGCTAGTATAATAGTACTCCGTATGCCTAGGCGCGAAATAGGAATGGATTATTTAACTATTCATAAATTATTACTCGGTATTAGCTAGCTAAGTAGCTAGTATAGTAGTACTCCGTATGATTCTCGGTATTAAAAACACAAATCACTCACCTTTAAGTACACAAATTAAACCACGCATCTTAAGATAAATAAGTAAATAAATATATAGATACATAGATACATAGGGATGAAAATGAGTCGGGAGAGTACTACATCTATCTATCACCCGACACACCACATACTTTCTCCACCTACCACCTTCCCCGACCTGTGGCATTGGAAATATTTTAGTACACATTTTATTAAATGATGAGACATATGATTAAGTGTTGTTGTTGGTGTTATTGTTATTATTTTGTGATGAGGAAAACCCACATGCACTACATAAGGCCACGTTGAGCACAGGGTAAACCATGCTCCAGCACAAGGGAGGTTAACCATACTAACAAGAAGACCATATGTAGGACTGTGCATTGGACGGGTTCTGGCGGATCCGATTTCAGAACGCCTAAATCGTTCGGATTTCGGATTGACATATTACTCCCTTATCCATTTATTTTATAGGGTTCAACTCATCGGATATTTGAATGTTGGATTACGGACGGTTGTGTTCGGATTTCGAACTGAGTCGGATTGGATAAAAAATACAAAGAGAAAATTTCAATTTTGGTCCACTGACTATTGGAGTTGTGTTAATTGCAACACTTGACTTTCAAAAATGCTAATTTAGTACCATGACTATGCAATTTCTATCAATTTTGGTCACGCCGGCCAAATTGCCGGCCAAATCTCACCGGAAAATGTAATAAGTCAAATAATAAGGGTATTTTAGTCATTTTACCCATTTTCTTTCTTCTCCGATGGGAACCTCCATTTCCGGCGACCGGCGACGTTCTTCTCCACCTGTTTGGCCTGCTGTGTTTGAATAAAAATGGCGTCATGTTCCACCTATTCGGCCTGCCAAGGGATGGCAAGGATTTAGATCTAGTGGGGGAATCAACTTAGATCTAGGTAAGGATTTAGATCTAGATCGGGTTCCCAAGAGGGGGCATTAATATACAGACCCTGTGATAAGTAAATTGATTGATTGAAGTGATGAAATGGGATTGCACCATTCCCTCCAGAGAGTGGTGTGGATGAGCCTGATGCAGCAAGAGGACTTGATATTGGTGATGGGGACATCCTTCCATTTAGGTGTTGAGGTGACCTTGGATGTAAAAGAGGGCTCCCAATCGGATGAGAACCTCCATTTCCGGCGACCAACGACTTCTCCAATTCTCTTAAAACGGCCGGAAAAGAGAAAATAAATCAATATTCCCTATTACTTCTCCCTCTAAAACACTCCGACTTCTCCAAATCCCCAGCTTCCACAAAATTGAAACAACATAGCTCTCATCTAAAAGACTCATAAAGCTCGCCACCACAGCGCCATGGAAGCGAGAACAAATCTCCAGCTCAAACCAGAGCCGCTATCTCCACCGGCCCTCTTTCGGTGTGGTTAAAGCAAATGAATCATCATCGAACATCAGCTAGAAAGAAAATTAATGGTCTAACAATTACATTAAAAAAAAATGTGAAACCTACGAGAAAACGCAAGAATCCACGAAAATTGAATACGATCTGCGTGTCCATAGGTATCAATAAAACGGATTTGATTTCGCATCGTTTCGTATCTCCTCTGCTACTGCTGGTCTGAATCGGAGACGAACGTCGCCGGTCGCCGGAAATGGAGGTTCCCATCGGAGAAGAAAGAAAATGGATAAAATGACTAAAATACCCTCATTATTTGACCTATTAAATTTTTCCGGTGGGATTTGGCCGGCAATTTGGTCGGCGTGACCAAAATTGATAGAAATTGTATAGTCAAGGTACTAAATTAGCATTTTTAAAAGTCAAGTGTTGCAATTAACACAACTCCAATAGTCAGTGGACCGAAATTGAAATTTTCTCAAATACAAATTAAGTATTAAATAAGTAAATCAGCAAAAATTGGTTTAAGTAAAGCTAAGTTAGCTAACTTGCTAAGTAGTAAGTACTAACTACTAAGTAGTAACTACTAATTACTTAACAACTTACAACTTAAAAATTAAAACTCATACAACTTAATGAACTTATAGACTGAACATACTACAAAACTTTAATTGCATTTTTCAAGTTTACAAAAAATAGTTCAGCATTCAGGTCTGGAAGTCTGCAACAGCAAGTCAGCGAATCAAGTCTCAAGCAATTCAGCATTTCTTATCCTCCTGCTTAAGGTGCAAACTTAAAACATAGTTAAATAACATTAAAAAACTGAAAAGAATAACTGTTAACATTTTTGCTCAGAAACTAAAATAGGCTTAGATTGTTGTGTTTTCATATAAAATTAAGATTGGGAGGAAATTGCTTCTAAAGTTTTGGAACAAAAACCAAAACTTGAGCAACATACCATCCCAAAGTCCTTTGATTCAGACAAAGGTGGAAGCATCATCATAGCCCATAAAAAATTAATAGGTAAAAGAGTAAGGTAGAATCAAAGTACCAGATCAGATTTGGCTAACATATGCAAACAGGATTCATAAACGAATCAAGGCAAAATGCGACAACACATACTGAACTGATATTGTTATACCTTTAACCTGTTATTGACTCAAGTGGAAGGGGCCAAGGATTCAAGGCAGTAACAAGTTAATTGTTGCCAAGCCAATGAAGTCATTGTCATGTACTTCTAAAATTCACTTACATAATTGAATTCATAAGTCAAAACTCATAACAAATAATGATAATCTAATCTTCTAAGAGAACAGAATAACAGCTAAATATAAAAATGAGAGCAGAATGAATGAACATTACTGCAATGGTAGGTAGGGAAGTTCCAGCACTCTTAGCTCTAGTAGGCAACTATGCAAATCAAAAAGACAAAAATACATAAATTAAAACAGTAAAACATAGTATTATTTAATATTTTAAATACAAAGTAATGAAAGTTTCAATTAATTACCTTTTTCAAGTCTTTCACAATCATCAATATTTTCTTCAATTTGTATTGATTGATTTGGTAATCTCAACCAATCTTGTGTACAAATTAAAGCTTCCACAATCTTAGGAGTTAAAGAACTCCTAAAGGGATCTAACACTCTACCACTTGTAGAAAAAGCACTTTAAGAAGCCACAGTGGATATTGGAATTGCAAGAATATCCCTTGCCATTTTTTAGAGAATGGGCAGTCTCTTAGAGTTCACCTTCCACCATCTAAGGATATCAAAATCATCATTGTCTTCCACAACAGCCTCACTCAAATATAGCTACAGCTCAATCTGTCTAATGCTTCCACCACTCTCCAACATTTGCCTTTTGAGTTCACTTTTCAACCTAGATTGTGGCTTTGTAGTAGCACTAGAGTTCACTGTCACTGGTTGAGAAGGTTGGGCAACAGCAGCTGGTTCAGTGCTTACATTCACAGAGTAAGTGGCTGCATAATCATTGAACAGCTCAACCAGTTCAGATTGGACCATAGAAAAACAGTCTTTGTCTTTATCTTCACCATAAAGTTGAGTAAACTGGGCAGACATATACTCAACTTTATCTCTAGGGTTCAAAATATTGGCAAAGAATATCACACAGTTCTCTTATCAGCCCGATCGAGATGGAAGCGATGAGCAGAAGAGAGATTGGGAAGAGGATGAGCAATAGTAACCTCCGATCGAGATCCGACGCCCGTTGCGTCAACTTAACAACAATTCTAGGGTTTTTCAGAAACGCCGTCGTGGTCGTCACCGTCGGGTTATTAAGCCAGCTTGGGGATTGACATATTGTAAGGTTTTGAATTTTAATTTTTTTTTTCCGTTTGGTTCAGCTATAGAGTAGGCTTTGGTAGTTTGCATGCAGTCTTATTTGACTACTATATCAAAGAATACATTGAAAATTTTGATTTTTTAATTAATTATTATATTTATAGTATTTTAAAATCTTAACAATTATAGCTTTTTAATGACAATACGGTCAAGTTAGTCAGATTGACGACTTGATAACTACAAAGTTATAAGTTTCGATCACTTTCAGCCGGACAAGCCAATCTTATTGGCCTTCTTAGTCTGAGTGCAGCTATGCAAGTTTACTTAAGGCACACTCAAGTAGTAATAACTAATTTTGGTCGTTACTAAACAAAATTATTACGTTTAAAATTAATTTTGTAACTAATATGGTAACTCAATTAATTCTCACACTAATTAGCAATCACAATTAGTTTTATTATTGTCTTTCCTTTCTTTATTAATATAGTTTTTAGCATCATAGCAGGTTTGGATCTTGTTTGTTTTACAATGGGTGAGAAGCCAGATCCACCATTCGTGCATGGTTTATGGATTCCCATGAAGTGCATCTATCACGTTCAAGTTTAAATTTAATATTGAATATAATAATAATCTTTTTATGATTCACGAGAAATTGAACATCAGATTTTGTTCATTTCTAGAAATGTTATATTGTATGAAAATATTAGCATTTTAGCATTTTCTCTTCCTTTTGATCCTCTCATTCGGAATGAAGCATTCTCAAGGAAAGGGGAAATGAAGAAGAGTAGTCCAGAAGAAGTCTTTTGGAATTTGGAGGGTGTGGTTGAGTGTAAGAGACTTATTCATCTTGGTTTTGGGAATAGAGCCGCTTTAAATCTTCAGGTCAGCTGTCCCACCCGAAAGAGAGGCCTACAATTCAACGAAGGGATTAGTCACCGTATTCGACGGGGGAAACCCTGGTTATACCCAAAAAAAAAAAAAAAAGTATTTTGGAAAACTTTCAAGCTGAAGGAAGTTGGGATTATTATATTGGAGATCAACCTAGCGAGCTAAGCTAGTAAGGTGACTTCGTGAATGACCCTTGGCTAGTTAGCTCTGGTTAGGCATTGAAGGATAGGATGACTTTGTGGTTGACCCCTATCTCAAACCGGTAAAAGTTGTAGGCTTTAATTCGTTCGACTTTGTATCTGTGTAACCAAAGTGAAATCCTCCTTGGATTTAAGGAGAAAAGTAGAGTAGAAAATTTTTCTAAAACACTATAAATATCCCTCTATCTCTCTTATTCATAATGCGACCTCTATAGCTTAATGGTAGAGTATCAGTCTTGTAAACTGAAGGTTTGTAGTTTGCTCCTGCATGGTTTCTAGACTTTTAGCTTGGGGAGGAAACTAAATTCGTATCGCGAATAATTGAGAGATGATGAGTAAATTATGAGTTGGTTTATCAACTATATAATGATGATTTCACCTTTTTTACACATCAACTTCCATTTTAATTTTTTGATGACGAAGGTAACTCTCAGTCATTATATATCTAATGGTGTGCACTGGATAAACTCAACTTTGTGATTCTAACCCGCAAACGACCACAATGAGGTAAATCAACTTAGGTTGTTCATAACTAATCGACTTAAACTAAGAAGTTCAATAGATCATTTATATTACGAATAAAACGCGGAAGCTTTTTGTTACTAAGATGAACTTTAATTTCAATTTTGTCTACACTATCAAACATGTATTGAAAAAGTAAAAAATAAAAAAAATTCCTCTTGCAAGAGAGGGGGCTAACTTGTGCCTAAGGCTTTGGTCCAATGGATAAAAAAATTTCATTTAAAAACCTACTTACAATGATAGGGTAGGGGTTCGAATCCTAATTTCTCGATTATAAATATTAAAAAACTAAAACACATCATTTGTCTATTACGACGAAACCACATACAAATACATAAGAAAATATAGAATAAGAATATACATCCTGTGATTTTAATTTGATAAATACTACTTATTAAATTCGTAATACATATCAAAACGATAGAACCAATATTTCTAATAAATTTTTTACAAACCAACAAACTGTTTATATATAATTCCTTTATGCTATATTGACTAAAGTTAAATCCTTTCCGGCAACTTGTCACCACTGATGGCCGGATTTTCCATAGCCAAAACATTACGTCCCATAGCCTTGAAATCAAAATCGCATTTGTGTTCTTCCGGGAAGCGATGACGCCCACAAAACGTTCCGTCACAGCGGCACCCAAAGCTCATCAACCCAACCTTCTTCTTGCAGCAGAAACACCTCTTACTCTTCGCCGGCGCCACCTCAAACTGGGCTGCCAAATCGGCATTTGCGGATGAATCCTGCGGCGTTTTGCATGGCGACGACGTGAGAGTAACGGCGGCGACGGGCAACTTGGAAATCTCCTCTTTCAGATAGTCAGTGTAGCACTTGGAGCATAGGAACTTGTTTTCCGGCAGGCCGAAGAAGTCGCAGCCGCGGGCACATTTCCGGGGACTTGTCGGCAGGGAAATTTGTGATTGTGAGTCCGACATGTTTGATCGATCTCCTTCAATTCCTCTTAAATCTCTACGAATTATTGAAGAATGTTTGTTTTTGAGGTTTAGAGGCTAGCTAGGTCTTGGTATATATAAACTGACTGAGATATTCCGTATTAGCTAGCTAGTATAGTAGTATGATTATAGGAATCCTAGTCTGGTTCGAAATCGTAAATTAGTAGATATGTTGTTTATAGGATTTCCATATTGGCGTAGGAGTAGGATTGTTGTTTGGATATATATATATATATATATATATATATATATATATATGGGAAGGGTTCAGGTGCGGTAAAAGTTTCGCGTGCGGTTGACGTACTTTAAGGATTAAAATCTAGATCAATAGCTCAAGTCAATGAAAATTAAAAAAAAAAAAAAACCGCGTGTCTAAAATAAAGAAGCATAAGCAAAAAATGACGCACAAGTGATACAAAGACGCACCTTCAGTGTTATAACAACGAACCAAAGTGTTAAAATGGCGCACCTTAAGTTTTGTTCAAATGTTTTGTTCTTCAGAGTCTCAGCAAGGGGTCTGCCAGACCCCTTAGTTCAAAAGTTTTATTCTTGAGGATTTGAGCTACTCGTGACTTCGACCCCTTAGTTCAAAAGGGAGAAGGGTGCGCGGGCAAGGAGTGCCCGTTACCCTCTGTCGCATTCTGTTCGGTTCAAGATTTGAAGAAGAAACACGATATGATGCACCTTAAGCACGAAACTCACGCACCTTATACACAAAAACCACGCGCCTTAAGAAGAAAACCCATGCACTTTAAGTTTTAACAAATACTCACATTAAGCACACAATCCACGCACCTTAAGCACAAATTAAAACGCACGCAACTTAAGAAGAAAAATCACGCACCTTAAATTTGACCTAGATGCAAAAATTACTAAATTGTCATTGCATTTTTTTTAAAATTTTGATAATCCTGGACGTTGATTTAAGCAATATCTATGACTAAGATTTTACCGCACAATCGCACCAGGACGCACCAACCGCATTTGAATCTAATTATATATATATATATATATATATAATTTAGTTCCAGTGTGGGTGGCCTTCTCAGGTGTGGTTGTTAAGGTGCGAGGTTTTCTTTCTTGAGGTGCGTGAGTTTCTTTCATAAGGTGCATGATTTGTATGCTTAAGGTGAGTGAGTTGTTGAAACTTAAGGTGCGTGGTTTGTGTTCTTAGTTGTTAATGTACGTGGTTTTTCTTCTTAAGATGCGTGATTTATATGTTTAAGGTGCGTGAGTTGTTGAAACTTAAGGTGCACCATTTTAAAACTTTAAGTGTGTGCTTTGTGTTCTTTAAGGTGCGAGGTTTGTGTACATAAGGTGCGTGATTTGTATGTTTAAGGTGCGTGAGTTGTTGAAACTTAAGGTGCGTCATTTAAAACCTTAAGTACGTGGTTTGTGTTCTTAAGGTGTGGTTTGTGTACTTAAGTTGCGTGGTTTGTGTTCTTAAGATGCTATGTTTGTGTTCTTAAGGTGCGCCATTTTAATGTTTAAGGTGCGTCAACCGCACCGGAAGTCATCCCCGCACCTGAATCCTTCCATATATATATAATGGGAATATATAAATAAATAAGTAAACAAATAATCACTAAAAAAAGAAATTAATTACATTTGTGTATGCAACTATAGGGATGACATTGTGTCGGGAGAGTACTACATCTATCTATCACCCGACCTACCTCATACTTTCTCCACCTACCTCCTTCTCCGACCTACATTGAAAATATTTTAGTACACATTTTATTAAATGATGCGACATATGATTAAGTGTTGTTGATGGTGGCGTTATTGTTATTATTTTGTGATGAGGAAAACTCACATATATAGTCACATGCACTACATAGGGCCAGAGTGAGCACGGGTAAACCATGCAACAACACAAGGGAGGTTAATCATACTAACAAGAAGACTCTATGCGATTGCTGCGATCAATTCAAGAAGGTTTTGGCAAGAATCAAACCCATAATTCATAACCTTATAGTACGAGAATCATGTTCCACCCACATGACCACCCATTTCAAAATAATGTTATAATTATTTAATTCACATATCATGATTCTTTTTTTTTTTCGTTGTTGTTGTTGTTGTTGTTGTGAAACCATGATTCTTTACTAAATTAAAGGAGAATTGACATTTTGAGTCTCCCACTCCGTCATGGTGTGAATTTAATCATATCATTTAATTATTTGTGGGTACATTTATTCTTTATGT